AAGATGCTTCACTTCTTTATGAAGTTAATACTGAAGATGTCACCAACCCTGACCATGAAACGTTCACCATAAAAAGACAAAGCTCAGAGAACATGAAACCATCATCACCTTCATCCTGAGCTCCAGACCTTTCCATCATTTTGAAAGCTGTCTCACTGTGTGACACGTATAATAAAAGAAATAAGTGACTGATTATTGCAACACATCATAATACGTAAGGTAGTCCAGGAATTAGGAAGTGATCTTCAGTTAAAGAGATTATTTTTAAAATACATTGAAGTTATCATCCAACAACCAGTGAAACCAGTGGACAAATGTTCTGTTCTAGACAAGAACGTTTTTACAATATATACCATTGGTGCACTTGTAAAATCAGTAATAAATATTTGAATCCTATGACTAACAATTTACTGGTATGGTGGTCTGAAATCGAACCTGAGTAAATGAGTATTCAGGTTGCATGCAGTTGATGAGAATCCTACGAAATAAAATGACGTCTTCTTGTTCTGTAAATGATTTTGTCATTGCACTAGCTTATAGAGGTTTGTAACATCAAGATTTGTGAGCTGTTCTGTATTCGAATTCCATGAAGATGATATCATTTAATGCTTAACTGCAAAGCATAATCAATAAGTTAACTGTGGATACTAAGGACTGATCATTTGGAGTTTTGAAGGCAATATCTTTATATCATTCCCAAAAGTGAATGTTTTTTATTTAAAAGGGAAAAAGTGTGGAAGTAAAAGCTACGTGCTTGCGTAACTGAGCGAACATCATAGTGTTCTGCACCTGTTATTGTTTAAGAATGAAATATTTTATCAAACATGTTTTAGTGACGTAGAAGTAGATATCAGTCACTGCGGTGGTCTATAACTTCATCTGAACTTGTAAATGTGTCACCCACCCATTTCCACCATATTTCAGGAGCAGCCCTAAATGTAACAAGAGCCATTTGTTACCAAGCATCCATAAATATGTCTGCTACAGTTGGGTGTACTGGTGATCTCTCAGTAACTCCTTCCATTTGTTTATATAGTTTTTCCTGAACATATGTTGAAGTCCAAACATGCTGATATATTTTCGACAAAAATAAATTCAGTTGTAAGTGCGATCCAGTTTATTTATGAATTAGAGGGTGATGAAAGATAACTGGCTTTCTTCCATTTTCCAATAAAAATGAGATAAGCTTGGCACTAATACACTTGGGTCTACAGAAAAATTACGCATCTGAATCATTATTTAAACTTTACTTTATCACCCCCTGTGTTAAAAAAAGATGAACGACAGATATAATATGTATAACAATAATGATAAAACTAAGGAAAGAGAACTTAAACCCTTCTCCATGTTATCATATGATGAAGATGGCTCAGAAAGCCTACGCAGGATTCTAAACAGGATTTAGCTGTGGTGTCATTTGAATCTGTGAGCTCAGTAGTAATCAAGCCTTGTAAGTTCAACAGCCCTACAACACTCAGTAGGCAAAATATTTTGGTTCATAAAATCTCATTAAACAACTGTGATATCAGATACATAGCTTGAGTTAGCCAATCAGGATCTACTGGGAAAACAAAGCATAAAAACACCAACAAAGGTAAAACCTGATGGGGTAATAAATCTAGAGAAAAGCTCAGTTCAGTAGATGCACGCATTCGCGCAACCGTACAACAGAATGGGACAAGGTGATAAGTTGGTAAGTGAGCAAACATCAAAAATATACAACAGAAATAACTTCACACCTTTTCCAGATACATTAAAAATTTTATTACCCTTAAAGGAGAAGAAGCAGAACTATAAAAACCAGGCGTGAAGATTGTGGAGTTACTTTTGATTTGACTACCAACAATAAGTTGTGTTTGAAATGTCATCCGCTAGATAATATTGTCCCACTGTTACGACTTACTGTACTTGGTTTACAAGGGATTATTTAGTCTCGCACATGAATAAAAGAATACTTGACTAGTATTAATTGGTTAGAGGCAATCAGCAGGAAGCCCTGGATTCACCTGATGTTGTGATTCCAGAGAAACTGATTGTTCTGACGAGTTTTCAAGGTCTATGTAGAAGTCATGTTCAATGGAGCTTCTACCTGTTAAGTTTACTTACGTTTTTCTGATATATAAATGGATGATTTCCACTAGGCCAGTTTTTGCCAGTTTGTTTCTTAAAGATTAATCAGTTGACAGGTGTGGCTCAGTTGATCTTTGAAAATATGTTCAAAACAGTAAGTTGGGTATGTCTTTGTTAGGTAGATGGCTGTGAATGTATTTATCTTGATGGCTAACAGTGGAATCCAGGACGCGCGTTTCACCCTATTTTGGACTCATCAGCTGAATATATATGCACCCCAGTGAGTAGTGTTGTCCCCAACTGAGACTCGAAACGAGTACCCATGGCTTTAAACTCCAGAGCGTTATCTACTAGGCCACTGCAGCACAAAAGCCATCTCTTGTGCAAGGGGTATCAGTTGTTGTTTGATACTTATGATTTCCCGTTGCTATACTGAGTCCAACTGCTCAACCTCTGTTGGTAGATGGGTTCAAATGAAAACAGAGCCAACGATTATGGTTTATGTTTTTGTTATAAAAGCTGTATTTTGCTTTCGAAATGTAAAATGCCACTGTTAACACAATCTTTAAAGTTTTTAGCTAACAGTCAGTGAGACTTCGAAGTCTTTCTCACCTTACATCTCTAGCTAAAAAATGACCCAATTTCTTCGACTAAGTTAATGAAAAGATAGGTAGTATGATTTTAATCTGCCTATCATTTTTAGAACATACCCTTCTCCAGTGGTAACCTATTAGATTTTCTCAACCCTTCAAAGTTATCAGTAGTTCACCATCCTATAACAAGCTATTTCGTGCTGTAAGAGTTCATTACTTTTCGATGAAATTTGTTTAGTTTCTGTTGAACTATATTTAAGGTTGAGTTTTGACCTCTAGAAATCTGTACTGTTTGGTTGACATACTCTACTTCCTCTGAGTTCTGAAGTCAAGTCAGTAAATAATTTGAAAAGCCTGTTACTGGTGCTCCACTTGATCACAGTTTACTGACCAAAGTTGCTCATTTTCTGTCCACTGATGATACATAGAGGATAAATTTCAGTTTAATAAAGGTATATTTTTTCTGAATCTAAACACCAATGATGACAGAAATTTAGAATAGATCATGTAAACTGTGGCATTCCTTCATTTCTCTCGAGTAAATAAATAGATTTTTTATAGACAGTATTCATTATGAGTAAATGTCAACTGAGGAGCCCATGAAAAGTGAACGCCATGGGTTCAGATTAGATCTATAAGATATTTTGGAATGTAACCAGGTACATTTACTTTTTTTAACGGAGGAAGTTATTGATCTCCTGGTAAATTATGCTTTTAGAAAACTCACTAACAAGTGTTTCATTTTATTCAGAAATCCTTGGATGGATGTACATGCCAACTGATGAAACTCTATCCCTCCTACCTGCTGGTTCAAAAGTTAGATTGCCAGTCACAGAGAAAATGCATAGTGCATCAATGTATGCCGCTATAAGTATCGTTCTTGTACACGCAACCAATTTCATCTAATCAGATATTCATAATTACATAGGCTACTGTTATTGCACAATAACAAATTGAGCAACTGCATTAAACAAATTTTTTATCCAGAATGCAATTTCTAATGAGAGTGGTGAACATTTCAGTGACATGAAAGTAGTTATTGTCAGCTCATTCTTCGAAATAGAATGGCCACTATAAAATGTTAGTAAAAGAATCAAATCAGATTTATGCAAAAAACGGTTCATGGTAGATAATCGTGCCGTAGTTTGTTGTGGAAACTAAACTAATATGATCTGTTTGGCACTATGGTTGGCGTTTAGATAACGAGGACAGAGGCTGCAAGAAATATAGTATTCACTGACAGTACTTACTAGGCAAACCAATTTTATCTAAACATCGGACGTCCATTTAGGTGTTATAGACCCAGCTCATCAGTGATGTACCTGGATAGATTCAGGTCAGAGACACGAACTGTTCTAGCCATCCAGATACTGGCTAGTGGACTGGTGATACCTACGATCAAATCAGAGGTTTGTAAAATATCCAGTCCTTGGTGAAAACTCACTCTGTTTTCCTATGGAAACTTAAATATTCAGCTTTCTTAATGTAATCTGCTCAGCACCATAATCGGTGTCCTTATTGAGAACATGGAAGCTCTTAGTGAAAGGCTTATCGAACATGAAATTTCAATTAGTATGTCACTTCTCTTGTAGCTATGGTTTCACGTGAAAACAACCTGTAGTTAGTTCAATTTACCACAAGTTATTAAATTTGAATTACATGAATTCAGCTTGGATTAAAAGAAAAAATGACTGTCTTTTTAGCAATGAATTAAATTTATTACTAGGAAGAAGGTTCTATCCAGTGCTGTCAGGTTTTCAGTTATTCTTCAACCGACGTCACTCCGCGATGGATGTCATCTTTAGATCTATTACTTTGTGCATTTGCACTTTAGGAGCTGCAAAGCAAAAAAGAATGCCTTCACCAGTTATCAGCATTGTCAACCACCATGCTTTGCTATCACATTCTTGTCACTCACACAGATTGTTGTTTCTGTTATATTAATGATAAGTAATTAGTAATTATGCTCATAGTCTCTGCTTTTCATACAATTAAAGTGAAATAATTGATACTATAAAACCTTATTCGGTTATCAAGGTGATTAACATTTCATTGTTTACTTGTACTGCATCTTGTGATTATTTAGCACTTTTGTAACTCATATCCTTTCTCTCGGTAACATACATGATGCAATCATGACTTTGACTTTACAAAAAAATAATAGTTTGACATACATATGCACACATACAAACAAAAACATTTACACATAAAATAAGTGTCATTTGTTGGCGAAATACATTCACTCTATGTATACCAGGATTAACAGACTGATGACAATAGTACTACTATTGATAAAAATGATGACCAATTAGATTCAGTTGAACCTGTCCAGTATTTCTTATATAACCGTTCACATTACACTAATGACTTATTAATTACCTCAGGTTCCGCAGTTGTCTCTCATTTCAGAATACCCTTTATCAAAGGGAAATAATAGCGAAGAGTAAAATGTCAAATGATAAAAATAACCACAGTAATACTAATGAAATAGCAAACAGTTCAGATGAAGTGCCAGTAAACGAGGTAGTTTATTTGTTCTTCAATATACAATAATTACTTGCTTTCTCCTACCTTTAGGGAGAACAACAGACTGCTACAGAAGCTATGCGAACACAGGGAAGTGAAATCAAACATGATAATGTTCAGCCATCAGAGAAGGAAGAAACCCAGGTAAAAATTATCTTTTCCGTCGTAATAATCGTTATATAACTGTTGATGTAACTTAGGATGATTCAACCACTATCCGAGAAGATGATCAAAATAAAACAAACGCTGATTTATCCGCAGAAACGACGGAGGTCAAGGAAAATGAAGAACAAAATTTGAAAAAAACTTCAGATGAAACGAATTGTGCAGAAAAACTTCAAACTCATGACACTGATGTTACAAATGGGGAACAACCTGAAATGTCTGAGGTAAGACATTGTTTTGTTGGCCTTTTTCAAATACTTTGAGTGAGTGGATTTGTAGCATTAGGTTTGTTTGAGGTAGTTTCCACGATGATCTAAAAGATTGCTAAAACTCGAGTAGTATTCACCGTCTACTATAACCCAGTTTTGAACTTGAAAATTGAGCATCCAAGGTTCTTTTTAAAATCATGTCAAAAAGCTTTACCACAGCCATTCAGTTAATGGGAGATTTTAGTCGAAATATTTTCCGCACTAATAAGTTAGTCAAGTATGAATGCTAGGAATTCAGCTTTATACAGCATTATATGCCTTGAATCTCATAAAATTCCACTGTTAATGGATAAAAATAACTTTATAGCTAGTATGCTATTTCGAAGTATTATTCGGTACTTAATTAGAATAGCAAGTTAACACACACTTGTAATTAACTATATTCAAATAAAACTATAGGCTAGTTAAAGTGAGAATGAGGACAGATAAGCATTTGTCGGGATGGAGATTTGCTTTGCTATGTCACGCAGTGATTAGAGTTATAAAGTTGTCAACGAAGTTTTATTATCGACAAACTTGGTTTTAATGCGTTTACCAGTGCGTCTCAGATTCCCAAGTTCGGTTGCAGTAGTAATGAGTTACACACACAAGTTTAACATTTTAAACCCAAACATAAATAATATACACTCTTCTCTGATATCTAGTGGTTCTTACAATGATTTGTTTTCTATTTAAAATTAATTTCATCTTCGAGAAAAAGCCTAGTTTACTTCATAAGGATACCTACTTGTTATTTATAAGAAACCATTTATATGTTACATGTAATAATGAAGAACATGTGTATCAGCCGTTCTTGACTGACAGTGAACTTCGCCTAGATAATCGTCCTCCTTATAAATTCTGAAGTGCTTAAACTTGTTGTCTTCAGATACACAAATGATTTGCGTCTCAAAAGCTTAATTAGCTTATATTCATGCAAGTCAGTGTACGTTCAAGCATTTTTAATCTAGTGATTACTTTGGCTATGGCATAATACTTTTATTCAGAAGTCGAGTAGGAAAGCGTCAGTGTTATTGCCTTGTACTCCAACTAATCAACTCACCTTTGATGTTGTTGTGTTTTCTGAGCTGGATGGCTTAATCATGAAAACGTTTGTGCTGATGTTGCTATCTAGAATGACAATGAAAGCTTCACGATTAAGCCATCCAGCTGACAGAACATAATACCATCAAAATCATCATCCTGAGCTACAAATATTCTTCATCATCTCAAGTTATGAACATTTCTTACCTCATCGACCAATTATCATTGTTCAGATACGTTCATTTTGGTGGAACAAGGGTAAACTGTGATATGTATGCAAGGTTGAATAAGAGATTTGTTTAACTTGCTGCTTTCTGTGCTAAGGATCGACTTATGTATCACTACCGCCTATGTTTACCTTCATGTATTCATTGTTACAATCAGGATGAATTTAGTGCATTAACAGATTACACTGGCTGAAGTTTAGAAGCATAGCACAAGTACATTTTAATCAGAGCAACTCATCAGTCACTTAGAAGTTCATCTTCCTTATTCAAAGTGCTGGTTTATCATGAAAACAAATATTCCTATTCAGATAGTCAGATATTATCATTTGAGACTGTACCTGAAGCATCAACTCACTGGTCAACATTCCAGTGCTTAACTAACCGATAAATGGCATTATGGCTTTCATTTAATAATCAGCACAAGCGATGAGTAAATAAGTGATGTCTCAATCAAACTGCCTTTACATTACTTCAGTCTACCTGCTGAAAGAGGAAGCTATTGCATGTGTCTGTATTTCGTAAGGTGCATGAAAGGGAAGATATACCTTGAATATTCAGTGGGTTAGTGACTAATGGTCTTTACGAACCAAGCTAGCCACTGAAATAAGATAAAAAAACATTCTAAATGCAAATAAAACAAATACTCAGACTAAACAAACGTTCAAACATCTAAAAGAAATGTATCCTCTACGTTAAGGTAATGTTTATTGTCTTTTGAATTCTAATATTTGTTCGCGAACGCGTAAGAACAAAATGAAGTTGATTCATCACAAGTGACCCCTTTACTTTAAGAACGTAACTCAGGAGGTCAAACATTATAGATTGCTTGCTTTTTGTACCTTAGGTTGCTAATCTGTAGTCTATTTCAAAACCACTTGACCATTAGTGAAAAACTCATCAATATAATTATAAACAACGGGCTAGTCAATTACTTCAGCGTCTGGAAACCCTTTTCGTAACTGAGATAACCAATTAAATTTATATTTCAGTTTTACAGCATTTCTGATTAAGCTTGCAGTATATTACTTAGTTATTAAAAGGATAACTCACTACTTATATATATATATATATATATATATATATATATATATATATATATATATATATATATATATATATATATATATATAGTATTTTAACTTGGTTTGAGGCATCTGGAAATTTCAGTTTTAAGGTAGTATTCATCGCACATTGAAACCAGTTGCACAACAATTGAAAATCTGGAAGCACCGAATAGTTGTTTCTCCAACTGTTGTTATTCTATTCAAAAATAAAATCCCCATTACCTCGGAAACATATTGTTGTTTGGTGCTCACTAGTGATATACATCCAGATGGATATCTCGAAGGTCTAACGAGAAGTAATGATCAGTGGAGTCAACCAATCAGAAGTGAAGCAGATGCTAAATAAAGGCTTTGGTGGATAGTACCACCATCTCATGAATTGACAGAAGTAGGAGACTATGGACCATTGAACTCCAACCCAATGGCTGAGTGGTTAACGCGTTGACCGGAAAACCTGAGGGTTATGAGTTGGATTCCTGGTGTAGTCATATATCTGTACTGCTGGGGAATCCTATACTGGCATGGAACATCTGTTCAGTTCTCCCAGGTCTTCAGTGGTTTGTCGACTGATGTCAGTAAGTGAGGAACATGTTAATCGTCGCACTGATACACTTACAGTTTCCTAAATGAGATCGAGCTGATTCTCATTCGTTACTTTTATTAATTTTCTTTCGATAATCACACTACGCAGGTGGAATGCCGCTGAAATACTGAAAACCGAACATCTTTAACCTTAGTTTATAGGTCACCGTGAGTGATGATGATTTATAACTATAAAATAGGATATATAATACCTTTGGTACATATATAGCAAGTGTAATAATATGGCTGGTGATTATCTTTTTTCATTTTTTTGGTGAGTACTGTTGTACTGATAACCTTTCTTTGTCTGTCATGCAGGGTTCATCAAGTGAGAAGGAGAAAGAGAACAAAGTAAGTAAATTTTCTGTAAAATAGGTCAGTGGAGTTTAGTATAGTTTTTATTTACCACCGTAGGCACTAAAACACTAAACTGTTATTTTTCTCTCTTTTTGAAAACAAACTAAACAGAAGAAAGTTAATTTAGTTAAATGGTTCAAGAAAAATGTTTCGATTCATTTACCAAAGGTAAGGAATATGCATTTTTTAAAACTTCAGTACAGATGCTTCTAAAGCAATCATTTTAGACGTCTTGAATCTGTAATTTTGTTCATTTAAATTGTAGTTTCTTTGTCCAAAACGTTTGATTTTTATTCCTTACAGTTAAAGATGTTTCACTTTGATTACAACATGGCTGGCTCCTAGGAGCAGTCAAATTAATTGCAGTAATAGCCTACAGGGTGAATATACTGTTGAACATGAGTATTTATAAGCCATTCATACTGGTCTGTAGATTACGCTGATCAGATCAGAGTGATCTAAACATCGGATGGCCGTTATGCCCATTTAAGACTGAGGTCATTAGCAGAGTTACCAGAAAAGTCGCCCAACCTGAATGAATTGTCCAGATCAACTGATTCTGAGCAGCTGACTTAGGCAGATCTATTAGTTTTTGCCAGTCTACACAAGTCAGGTAGCCAAGTACAGTTGATTCGAACCATTCAGTCCTGTTAACTGATTTCTTCCTGTTACACCACTGATGACCTTGGCCCCAAACAAGCTAAACAGCCATCTGATCCTTAGACCACTCTGACGTGATAAGCAACACTCAGAGATCATCATGAATGGTTTTTAAGTACTAATGTCATTCAGCAGTATGGTTTATTAGTTTATGAACCATTTGTGTCAAAGACCGCACTGTGGGAACCTGGTTGGCTGGTTTTTACCGAAGAACCTGTTTACACTAAACTTTGGTAGTTGAGGAACTGTTTAGCTGTGAGAAGTCTCAAAATGTACCTTGCGATTTTTAAATAAACTGCGAACTGGCCGTCCTAATTACAGGATGAAACCTAAAGTTATGCTGGACTCATTATTGAATAAAGCCTGGTAATCTTAGTGTAACCAACGATACATACGACTAGATATGATGATTTAATATATTTAGTTTCGAATGACCAAAGGTAATATAAAAGAAAGCCAGAGCTTGGGCTTCTGAATTGTCGAAGAAAGTCTACCTAACTAGTAGTTCTTTATTGGGTAAAGCGTTAACTAAACGTTAACGTTTCTTCTAAGAAGGTCAATATAATAAACAGAGTAAAACTTAAATTTTAGTATGGTCATCACTCAATCTGAACAATTCTGGCGTCACTGATAGTATACAACGTATTCATTTTGGTTTATTTTTTATTTTCCTATATTTCACAGCGTCATTCTTTAAGAAAGGAGAAATCGGCTACAGAACATAAGGTAAGCAGATGATTATGATAATGTTTATATACGTGTGTACACAGATAGTCTCTTTTGTAACTTAATAGTATTTTAAACTAATTTTTCATGATATACTCCTTAGATGGAGATTGTTGACCATGAGGAAGAAGCATCATCATTACCATTGCCATCATCTGACAGACAAGATAATTCAGCACCCTCTGAAGAAGTAATCCCGGCAGAAAATACTTCTAAAGAGAAGAATACATCCACTGAAAAATCAGGTAAGTAGATGCCATTAACAGATTTAAGCAATTAGTTCTCTTAATAAACTTCGACAAAATAATGAGATGTAATTTATCTGGATCGTGTAATGTATTCGAGCAGCACACTTTGAGTAACCTGATCACACATGCATTTATCATAGATATTGATATGAAACTGTTACTGGGTGATTATTGAGGATGAATTGAAAATCTGAACTGCGGTAGGAATCGAACCTAAGACCTCCGGATGCTAAATCGATAATGAGTGAGCACATATAATGAGAGGTCAAGTAAAGAGGTTAAATTAAAGATTAAGATAACAATGGAAATCAGTAGAGCAAAAATAATCGTGCAATAAACTTGTTTTCAGAGTTGAATTCATCAACAGAGGCTCGACGCGATGACAGATTGTTTTTGAAAACATAAAGGTGGCTTAAACGTCTTAGTAGCTAACTTCTGGATAAATATAGACAGCGTTTCCCAACACGTTTTTGCAAATAAGCCTAAAGGATGTCGAAACATCATTCCTCTGTCTTATCTCGACAACGTTTCACTACAGGAGGACTTAGACTTCTACTATCGACATCTGTCGTTCCAGGTGATGCAGTTTGCCTTTGAAATCATCTTGGAGTATGCTCCGACCCCCATACTTACATTGATCTATGAGTTCTTCCTATGTATGTGTCACTACAGGTACATTTCAAATGATAGATCCTATGGGATATGACACTATCGTTCATATGCTGTGAACACTTTTAATCAATGAAGGACAAATTATGGATAGCACCTCTGGTACTACTTCAAATGAGCTTTAAGAATACGATTTCAACTTCAGTCATTATTGCTTTACTTAGTTGTGTATAGAAACGTGTGACTTAATAATCATTTGGTGTCTTTAAAACTTTGACATCCGATTACAGGCGTCAAGTTGATGAACTTCAACAAGATTAACCTTATAAAATAGATAAACCTTATTCTGAACAACAAATCCTTTTTAATTTGAACACGTTTCTATTTAATCTAATCTATCTATGTAAACTGAAGTTAACTAGAATTTGATATATAGTAAAAAGAAAACTAATTTTTAATCAGACTATTAAGAAATGATTTTTGAAAGAAAACATTGTTACGGCAGGATCCAACTAACGGTTTTTAAGCAGTCAGTTTAATTCTCGTTATACTGAATTAACAGACACCAAAATAAACCAAATGTTGATCATGTTATGATTATATTAAAATACAAAGATGATTTTGAACAGTTATATAGAACAGGAAACAATAAGGATAATCATACTAATTTGTGATCATGTATACACTTATCCGTTATACTCCTTTTTGTTGAAAAATTTCTCTTCTAGATGAGGTAGTCATTTCATCACCAGCAACACCTACAAGTCATAGTATATCTGATAATTTACAATCGCCGCCGTCAACAGCAGTCAGTGCACAGTAATGGTTGAAATTAGTGAATTTTGCTTGTGAATGCTCATTCCACGCAAAGCACTCAAATCCCATTAAACCTGTAATATTACTCCTACCCTATTTTTTATATGTTGTGTATTTGTCACCCACTTTCTTCTCGTTTGATTATATATTCATAAATAAATATCCACTTATTTCGAATATATAGATAATATTCTGCTTTACAGTTTCTTTTCCTATGCGTATGCCAGTCTTTGATGTATATTACCTCAAAAATAAAATCCCCATTACCTCGGAAACATATTGTTGTTTGGTGCTCACTAGTGATATACATCCAGATGGATATCTCGAAGGTCTAACGAGAAGTAATGATCAGTGGAGTCAACCAATCAGAAGTGAAGCAGATGCTAAATAAAGGCTTTGGTGGATAGTACCACCATCTCATGAATTGACAGAAGTAGGAGACTATGGACCATTGAACTCCAACCCAATGGCTGAGTGGTTAACGCGTTGACCGGAAAACCTGAGGGTTATGAGTTGGATTCCTGGTGTAGTCATATATCTGTACTGCTGGGGAATCCTATACTGGCATGGAACATCTGTTCAGTTCTCCCAGGTTTTCAATGGTTTATCAACTGGTATCAGCCTGTGATGAATACTACCTAATAAAGGAAATCTTTAAAAAGTTCAAAATATATTCCTATACGTATTTAACTATATTACGTGATTGAAGATAGTGATTAGGTTGCTATCAATCATTTGTCATTCATTCCTTCTATATCTGTTTTGACATTTTGATATTTCAGTAATGAGTAGTTTTACAATGATGACAAATTATTTGTGCATCTAAGCAGTCATGTGTACACCTACAGTTTTCTTGATGTGGCTTGTTGGTGTCTATCAGCAAGCACTGGATATGAATGTTAGGATTTGTGTAGCTTCTCTGAGACTTTTACAGTTGAAGACATATATTCAATATATATATATATATATATATATATATATATATGTACTAGGACGAAACAGCTGTCCGGTGATCCCAGATTTCAAATGTTCCTGCAACTGATGCCGGTCCAAGATGAATATCAACTTAACAAATTCAAATTCCCTAGTAAGTATGAACTTATGTCGCAAAGACTTTTCGGCAGAGAAATTATTTTCGATAAGATAATCAGTTTGCAAATAATTCACAAACTGCATAGTGCACACTTACATTTCTCACACCTGGATAGTTTTCTAACCATCTAACTGTGACTTCAACAAGGTTTACACTGGTTGAAAAACTGCTCGGCTATGAAGATGTCAAAGTGGACCGAGAAATTTGCAAATTGACCACCCCATTTTAGATATGCAAGTCAGCTAGCCAGATTCAGGTGGTCTGAACTAATTCGGTTGTGTGAGCTGAAATTTTCTGGGCATACTGCTGATGAGCTTGACTCCAAGCGAGCGGAACCACCATCAATTGCTTAGATCGCTCTGATCTGGCTGGTGAAATACTACTCAGGTTGTCCAGTAGTAGTATCTTTCGAAAACTCATTTCTAATTATCCTTGAATTAGACAGATATCCTTGTAACTAAATCAGTCATATTTTTCCAGTAAGCATATATTCAGATGTGTGCCAGATGAACCATGGAGGCACATTTAAGAAAAAAGCACCTAATATAGTCATTTATTTTTACTATACTCTTCATTTGAGCAAACGAATACTCACAACACGATATGTAGTTTTTAAGACTTATAATTTACTGATAACTGATGAAAACGCAACTGCACTGATTTTTGTTCACTTTTGAAACTGCTGACATAAACTTCAAAATAAAAATGAAGTATGGCCCTGAAGAAACTTAAATTTTCTTATGCTTGAAAGTACTCGTTCCCATTTTTTCCGAATAAAGAACCAGTAACTGAACAGTTAGTTGATGGATTTTCATATTTATTAAACCTTTCATTAAAATGAGATGAAACTAAAGCCTTTTTCTCAACTAATTTTGCAAAGAATTCAGATTTGAAATAGGATTTGAGCACAACTAATTAGGTCGTTGAGGAAGTGACAAGTAAATTCTTGAGCTATTTGAATCATGAAATGAGTACATTTATAGATCCTTTATTTGGAGAAGAATTGGTTTACTATACTTTAGGCTTTTTGTTATTGAAAAATAAGGAGACCGTAGTTCTGACTGAATGAGGAAGTGGTATATGTAAACAACTTATTTGTATCACACTTTAACTCTACAGGTATATCATAACAGTTTATATACTTAGTAGTACACAACTTCCCAGACTAAAATTAATTTTACTAGCCAAGACGTAGATGGTGCTTAGAGTTTAAACCTATTCATCGCGTAAGTCCCTATCATTATTTTTTCAATAAAGTTACTTGAATTCATTTTCTGATGTAGGTATTTGGTGACAAAATTTATGAAGCCAAAAATCGGAATGATTTTAACATTAGTAATCTAATTTGATAGATTTCATTTTACGAATACTTAACTTGTACTCAATTTCAACTCTACCTTAAATGGTAAATGTTTTCATCAGCCAGTGTATGAATCAAAAATAAGTGACCAATTCAACTTGCATCAGTCTTCAGATCGCATTTTCTAACCATGTACAAAAATAGATTTTTGACATTTTATTAGAAGTGATTTTACTTCCAATTTTACTTCTAAGGCCATTAGTGATTTCAAATCAGGATTAGTCTTTACTTCATTTTATTGTAACTAGCATTTATTAACAGCTGAACTTACAAATTTATGCTAAAGATATCTAATTATTCATGCTAAATATGTTCACTTGGTATATCACACGGCAATACAATATTATTATCAGTATGATGCGATTAAATTTCAAGTCAGTCTTGAAAAGTAACGTCACATTTAAAGTGTGTAAGTTGCATACCAAACATGCTCAACCTTTTATTCTGGAAGTCAGTAAAACCGTACTTTTCATCAGCATCTTCACTCAGAAAAACTATCTTGTCGGAGTACTCGAAGTAAATAACATGTCCTTCTTGGACTGACTTAAATCCGTCTTCGAAAAATCTGAGGTACCTAAGATTATGTCCATTACCACATCTAAAACAACATTGGACATGAATGATGATAGAGGTTATTTGTGTCTGACGCTCCGCATGAACTTTTACATAGCTGCATGAGCTAGAGTAAATAGCCTTGATTAACACGATGAACTTGCTCGACGTATACGTCACAGTCAGACACCAACACAAAACCTCTTGGTTGATAGAGTCGAATTTCGCATTCAGATCTAGAAATACGACCAATAAGTATGCTTGAATTCCAAAACCTGATGCACACTTATCCAGGTCTGAAACCTTAGGATGTTAGATACAATGTTGGTCAGACTGCTCCTTTTGTGGTTATCAGACGAAGATTTCTCTACTTTCTAAAAAGCATCCGACAGTTATTGAGTATCTCGTCCTGGTAAACATGCCATATTAAAGTTGTAACTTTAAGCCCCCTTATGGGCTTTTCTATTACGCACCTAAGTCAATATGATCACATTCACTAATTCGCTGCCTTTTCCATATGCTTCAAGAAGAAATAACTATCCAAGGTGTCAACAACGGGGATATGTTAATCAAATTCGAAGCTCTGTCAGTCCTCAAGTCCATCTGATTACCATCAACATTCCATATTTCTGCTTTCTTCATATTTCTCTGTCAGTAGTTTTACACCATCTTTGATCACTTCCTGCTCTACAACCCTTGATAGAGATTTCGGCTCAAGAAATAACACCCCTGGTTTCTCGAAACCACGTTTCAAACTATGCATCTTAGATTCCAATGTGCACAGCCTCCTTCAAGTCAAGCAAAATGCTTGGTTAGCCTACACTGAGATATCTTGCATCATGGATGTATGCTATTGAAATCATCAAGTTATGATTCAAAGGGATATAAAGGGAGGTTTGAAAAAAATCTTAAAATGATTCATCAGGAAGATAAATGAGTGGTGGTAAAACTACCCACGGGGTGCATCCAGCTGATGAGTTCCTGGTGCGATGGAATGTACCATCTTCATTCCACTGATAGCGACTATCGATCATTACTATCAAATAAACACATATCAGAATAGATGTAAGAAAACTCATTTGAACATAAGGTATGAGTCATAAATGTTGGAAGGTTTCGCTTTTGACAGCGAACAAAAACTTACTGTCACAATATTCAAGGTCAACATAGATGAAATAATTTTTTTAATGAAGCTAACCGATTTTTATGCAGTATCATGACTGTAAAACATGTAGTTTCGATGATTAATTATCATATTCATTGACACATTTGTGTGCACAGTAATGCAGTTAACCATTCATGGTCACGCAATTCGTTTTTGCATCTAACAACAACGGTATGACAAACAAATATGTTATTTTTAGTTGAAACACTAAATTTGTATTCAGTAAAATCAAGTCTGAGGAGTTTACTGCTGAACAATATAAGTGGATTTTAGCCTTTAACACCAACCATCAGTTCGGCGGATAAAAGTAGTGACTACGTCTATCACAAGAATCATCATCGGTATACTCAGATAGGTTCAGCCGACGGTTGTACACTACTCTGATGATTTGGATTTTTTCACGTGTCAAGAATAAAACGATTAGTTATAAAAAGATACGACCGAGAGGATCGAGATGCTCCCAGCAACCTTCGTGCAGTAAGCAATGAGCCATACCTATTGTGTGAGGGCCAATGATAGCACCTAGCTGCCTAGACGTCCATAGGTGGAGCAAGGCTCGAGGCCCTGACCCATGGGTTGAAAACGAACTCCTAAACCAATGGACTACATGTCCACTATGGGAGAAATCGACACCAGAAGTCTTTGCATATTTGGTAGTCAACAAAAGTAAACCCAGGTTTCAAGTTTTACGACCGATGACAGCTATGAGCAATCCAGATTTGCAACTAAGTGACAACTAAAGCTGCTTTAGAGGCTCACATCAAGGTCGCTGAAACCATCATTGGATAGGTGTTACAAAATCAAATATCTTAGTTGTTGTTTTTAGGCTAAATAGCTAATACGTTGGCATTTTGAAAACACTAGGCTAAACTTCAGCACCTGAAACTTTCAACAGTATGCAAGAAGTAAGGTAGTGTTATCACATTTCGATACACTTTGATGATCACTGAGAAAAGAATATAAACTGTCTGTTATTTTCCTGTGCAATAAGCCATGTTAGAGAAAGATGACATTGTGATTTTCTACAAAGGTTGATTCCAGCAACTACCAAAAATGACAATTTATTTTCGTCACTTTTATGAACAACTACCTTCGTAACCAA